AGGAAAGTGGAAAAATGGGATCCTAAAGCTTCAAAACCAGAAGAGGGAAATGAAGAAAAATCCCATTTCATCATAGTTTTAGCCCTTATGATTCTGTAAGCCAGTTTCATAATTTTCAGCACTTGACAAAGCTGCTGCTGGCCAGCTTTATTAACAAAAAGCATCCACCCTCTCATACCTCGGCTTGGGGTTTGGCTTGGGAGCTTTCCAGATGTTCAGCTTGGGTCTTCAGCAATTGTTTCTATTGCTGCATGAAAAAACATTTTCTCAAAGAGTTATTCTATTCCTAATCTCAAAACTAAAGGAAAAAATTCAGCCCAGCCTTTCCAAGAAATCTCCCTTCCAGACTAAGACCTGGCATGTGAAATTTCATCCCCAAAAAGGACTTATCAAAAGCAGCAACAGCAAAAAAAAAAAAAAAAAAAGAGCATGAGAAAGCCTTTATTGCCACTGCTCCCAAGCAATTTCTAGGCTGAGACCCCACATTCCGCTGCGGCCTTCTCTTAGGAGCAGAGCAGCAGTTTCAGCGATGAACAAGCACTGAGATTTTTGGGAGGGATTTACATAACTCACCAAACCTAACCTGGGTGTTCAAGTGCTTTATCCCCAGGATCTCCACGGGCCTGAATGAAACCAGACTGACAGCATCAGACAGGTTTAACGCACAGGACATACGAGTCTTGGCATGTGTTGTAACTGAGGCCTTAATTTAGGAAGGTAATTAAGACCCCATGTAATTACTTCCCGTGCACATGCCGTGCTGCTGGAGCATGGGATGGGCTCAGATACAGGGGCACCAGGTGCTGCGATTTGCCCACGATGGGCTCCCATCCAGCCCCTGATCTCCTCTAAGCCGCCCCATTTACTCCAGCTCTGCCAGGGAAGGAGGAACCTGCTGGTTTTGTGCTCATTCATGTTCAGTGTCCTCTCCTAAAATCAGCACAGCCGACAAGTGCCGAGTTATCTGGGGTTACGGCGCAGGCGCTCGCCTGGCGAGCACTCCCTGTCGGGACGGCAGCCTGCACGGATGTCGCTTATTTTCACGTTTGCATGTGTACCCTGTGTCTTTCCCAGCCCCATCTCTGCCTGGATAACCAGCCCAAACGTGTCTGGTCTCCAGCCCTTAGCTGCTGTGGGGAGAAACAGGGAGCAATTACCTTTTCCTATGCCAAATACCCCCTCTCCTTGCTCTGATTACGCCCCGGCTCATTCTGCAAGTCGTGTGGGTACCCCAAAACCAGCGCTGCTCCTCCCTTGGCTCTAAGTCTATGAAGACAGAACAGAAAAACACAATATAAGCAGCTGGGCTGGCGAGGAAGCCATGTGGCATGTTGATACGGCAGCAAGTCCGGCTGCCTGTGCCGCGCGCTGTCAGGCAGCCAACAAAAGGCATAAGCAAACAGCAGGTCAGGTAGGAAAGTCTGGGAGAAATCAAACAGCAAGGTGCAAACTTAATAGTGAAAATAATTGTCCTGGAGAAGCCAGGTCCCCAGAGACACTAAGGGTTTCCCTTCCCTCTGCATTTACCTCTCATTCTAAAAGTCAGGTTTTGAGTTTTTGTCTAAGGGACCACGGGCAAAGGTTATCTTGCCATTTTTGTCACTGTTTGTCATTTAAATAGAGAAGAGCACTGATTGCTCAAGCTGTTTTTTCAGCCAGCAGTGGAGGATCCCAGGTGCTCCTCCAGGCTCTCCCACAGGGGCATCGCAGGGCTGTTTTCGGGGCAAAATGAAACAAGGTCTGCACCACAGCTTTGCATGGGAAATGAGAATAAAAGAACAGGAGAAAAGTTTTGCCTGCACTCTTGTCCCACACATGCTTAATTTTGGGAAGAAAAAGCCAGGCAGCAAGTGGGTTGGGAAAAATAAAATGATGTGAAATGGCTGGGCGAGTCCAGCTTGCCGGGGGAGCTGCACATGATGGCCCAGGAGACCATTGCGCGGGCCCTGCCATGAAAAACTGACGGGGAAAAAGGAGGTCCTTTAGCAGTTACTTATTGTGAAAGCATATTTTCATTAAGCTGATTTTACTCAAGAGTTAATAAGCCTAAACTGGTTAGCGCGGAGGGAGAAAGTGCTAAAGGTTTAGTTTTTCTTCAAAGCGTCTGTAAAAATCCAAGAAAAGATAATTTGTGGCAGCAGGGTGAGGCGTTCTAAATCAACACGTCAGCAGTAGCCGAGGGCTGAGGGGAGGCAGGACGCTTAACTTACCTAAAAACCAAGACTGATTTTGTAGGAGGTTATTAGGAGAAAACCTGGATATCTTCCTGCCCATTTTGACTACACACAGGGCATTTTGTAGCTGGAGAAACAACTGTGCAGACAGGTGAAAATTCGGCTGGGGTAAGGGCTGATTTATCAGCTTACTACTCCGTAAATCTCAATAACGGCTCTGAGAATGCACATTCAGCATTATATTTCCAGTGTGATTTTGCTTAATGATTGAGGGGACAGGGCAGCTTCAGCAACCCTGCTGTTGTGATTCACCAGTGATGCTAATGGCGGCGGTTTCTGTAACGTGAATCCAGTTTAATGCCTTATACCCACTTACCGGTGTTAGGGCAGACTCTTGCTAACACAGCCTGGCATGCCGTTGGGCTTCTTTGTTACGAGGTTGGAGGTCTTTGCATCACGTTCCCCAAATTGGGACAGCTTCAGTGATAGCGTAGAACCAGCTGGGCTTGTCAGGTCACGCCTGAGCTGCCTCTCGTGGGTCTCTGCTTCTGCTCTCACTCCCAAGGATCGGTGGCAAAGTACCGGCTCGGTACGGACCGGAGACCCCGCCGGCTGCTCTGGCACAGTGCCGGGGCTGTGCGCTCACGTGGCAGCACGCCCCAGTGCGTAGCTCCCCTCCTGCCTGCTTCTGCTGGGCTGGAGCCATCTCTGGCACGAGAAAAATATCTCCAAAAATAGACTGAGGCACATAAAATCCGTTACATCCATCTCCCCCGCTCCTTGTTTACTGCTGGGGTTTAAGCAAAGCAACGGGCCTTGGTTTCTTCATCCCATTTTTGCGTACGAGGATGAACTGAGAGTATTGCTTTCATTCCTTGGCTCCCAAGGAGGAGCATACCTTTCCTACATAGGTATGTAGGAACGGACAGTAGAAAAGCCCCAGTCACGGTTCCACAAGGCTCATTTCTTACCTGCAGTGATTTTTTGGGAGCCTGTCAAGGGAAATCAAGCCTGGGGGCATTGATGAAGATAAAGCATTACCCCACCTTTGACAGTTTCATTTCTGCAGAAATCTCCTTTTCATTGGCCAGAGACAGGAACTGGAAAAAGCCCGAAGCTTTCAACGTGCTGGCTGAAGGCTGATACCAATGTGGAATTCCATGCTGGTTTTGGGGACTCCGGGTGAGAAACTCCTGCTGGTCTGAATAAGAAAACCGCATGGCAGCCAGAGTTATGGACCACAAATCAATTCCTTTTTGTGATTCAGCACCAAGCTCTTGGGCAAATGAAGATACTGAGCAAGCAACTCATCCTCTTCCTCAGAGAAATGATACCATACAAACGCAGGGAGTGTTTTATTGCGCACCGTGTTTATTCTGAATGAGGAACCAACAGGAGAGATTGCCAGGCAATGTCACAGTCACACATTTAGTCACCTACTAGTGACACCTCACCCATCAAATGGTATCGACGCGAGACTGAAATGAATGTAGTATGCCTAGCAAAGCTGCCCAGCAAAAGCACCGGTAGGAGATGAGGGCTGCAAAATACTGAGATAAATCTGTCCAGTTGCTTCAAATGAAGTAACTTACTTCTCTTGCAGCCCCTGTGCAAGCAAACAAAAGAGGTATCGACAAGGCCACTGGGACACGTGAGACTGCTGGTGGCAGTTTCACCAAATCACTGAGGTACTAGTGGTTTTAGGCACTTAAAAATACCCTGTGGTCTTACGGGGCATGAGCTAGGGGCAGCAGAAGGATCAGGACCAGGAAAAGCTGGCCAAATGCCACAGGCATCCCTACAGAGATGTGCTTTCAGAAGAACACCTGTATGCAGAGAGTCCTTTGCAGGAGCCAGCCCTTGGAGATCTCACCCTGCTTGGTCCAAGACAGCTACTGTCCCCATGCAGCTGTGCCAGCAGCAAAGGGTGACATGGTGATGACCAGGAAAGATTTCAGGAAAATTTAAAATGCCAGAAAAAGGGTAAAAGCTGTTAAATGTAATCGTTCAGCTCTTTAAAACCACTCACAAAACGGTCTCAGATTCATTAAAATTCTTTTCAAAGTGGGAGCTGGAGGTTTGTAGCCGTAAAGGTGCTGTAGTGTGGATGGTGCTGGGAACCCGGTATGGGCTGTGTGATAGGGAAAGGGCTTTCAAAAGAGCTCGTGATAGTCTGCAGTGTAAACACCGCTGGTTTGCAAGACCAAAGCCACTGAGGGGTTTTTTTGACACATAAGCCAAGGAGACAACTCAGGAATCATTTGACATCTGTTCTTAAAGGTTAAAAGTGAGTAATTTTGGAGCCAATGAAGAGTGTTCTGTGGCTACAACCCTCTTGCACCCCTTTCTGGCCAACAGCTGGAAAACCTTGACAGGCTGGCATTTACACACCGCAATAACAACTTCACAAGTGCTTATGGAGTCTACAGTCCTCACAGTTCATGATGATTTGTCACTTAAAATTCTGGTGAGGTCACTCTACACCAGCCATTCAACATAAATGGTGGGATCCCTAGGGATTTCTTGGTACAAATTCTTCTCTAGCTGTCTCTTTTCTAGGTTAAATCTTGTAAACACGTTGTTAGTAAGAAAGAACAGGCATGAATGTGTATTTCACATGCAGCCTTATGCAGTCACTTTTAAAAAGATCAAAGCTGAATATCCATGCAGTCGCCTGGTGGAGACTTTGTGGATGTCCTTCTCATCAGGAATTCGCTCCCCTGCTCATTCATCCCTAAAACCAGAATCCTCTTGGCATTCCAGTAAAGAAATGTGTGTTTTAGACACAGAAATACAGCCTTATGTTGTGGAAAAAAAAAATTAAAAAAAAATCAACTCCGGGTCACTTAAGACTATTGAGAAATTTCGGTTGTTCCTCCCCTCTTGGTAAAAGTGTTTCTCCACCAATTGCCGGACCTTTTTTCTCCTAGAAACATGAACCATGGAGAAAAGAAGTTAAACGTGTGGTAAGATGTCTCCCAAACATTTCTTTGACAGAAGTTGTGGTAGGGCTAAATTATCTGATTAAATATTGACAGACACTCTAGGAACCTTGACATTCTGAATTCTCAGAACTTTGGTCAAAAGCAAATTCCCTACGGTTAAATAAAACAAAGCTTCAAGAACAGAAAGCAAGAAGAGAAAGTCCATTAAAACACAGCCTGCAGGTACCTGTATGCACCTGACAAAACGCAGAGCTGCTTGGGTTTGCTGGCAGCGGTAAGGGCACTAAAGCAAAGCGTGGGACAAAAGTACCAAGAGAAGCAGAGTGCTGAGGCGCTCAGAAACCGCTGGCTCCCACTCACCTTTAGCATCCCGTCTCGCTCCCACTTGAAGAGGCCACAGGTACTGAAAGATGAAGATGGCAGGTAAGGACCACTGTGGTGTGTTTGCTGCACAGTATGAGGGGGTCCAAAACTAGCCCGCACCTTTCCCACACTGCTCAGCACAAGGGCTAACATTCCCCTTTTAGGACATGGTTATGCGACTCCCAACATGTTACTTGTGAACGGAGAGTAGAAAAGCCCCAGTCACGGTTCCACAAGGCTCATTTCTTACCTGCAGTGCTTTTTTGGGAGCCTGTCAAGGGAAATAGCACGGTTTCCACAAGGACATTTGAAAAATCGCTTGATGGCATCATGCCAGTGGTAGTCGTGGTTATCCTGCACACACGTCTCCAGAGGCTTGAAATAGGTGTAATTACACTGTCAGGGAGGAGAAAGAGCTGTGAGTGCTTCACCAGCATGTGAGGCTGGTGACAGCGGAACATCTGGAGGAAAGCAAGCAACCTGAGCAACTTTGTCTAGTGAAAGGTGTCTCTGCCCATGGCAGGGGGGTTGGAACCAGATGATCTTCAAGGTCCCTTCCAGCCCAAACCATTCTATGATTCTATGAAAGCACCTCTGTCTTCTCCCACCCTGAGGAGGCCACTGACTGAGATCATCGCCCCAGGCTTTGTCACTGCTCCTTCTAATGCCATCCTCCCCTCTCTGCCACCACCCTGTGGCCCTGCTCCCAGCACCTCATGGGGCACACAGTGGCCCTCTGTGCAGCCCCAAAACAGATAGGAAAGGCAGCAAGAGGGGAAGTCCAGCAGGGGCTGAAACTCTGGGAATAGGAGGTAACTCCTCCCTTCCTCTCAGCACATTTAGGATAGTAACAAAGCTCCACTCCTCCTCCTGACGGCAAAGTCCCTGGAAATCCTGACAGAGGAATCCCACCCAGTGTTATGTTTTCAAGGCACTTTGCTTATTTTGTCATCTAATACGGGGAACTGAGGGTCCTGGTACAAAGTACTTCAAGGAAGAAACTGATAAATATTTTCAGGATACCAGCACCTCAGGAACCCACTGGTTCCACCAAAACATCAAGTTTTGGTGTTCAGCACAGCACTAAAGCCTGCCTTGCCAGCGTCTTCATGTCACTCAGTGCAAGGGCTGCTCTCAGCAACAGGCATAAGGAATGAAACTGTTTCCATTTGATCCCTGCACTGCCAAGAGAGGGACTAATGGAAAAAGTCTGCAGGATGGTCCAGCATTATTTTGTACAACCCATATCCCACTCCCCTGCTGTCACCCCGCTCCCCTTCACTCACCGTTTTACATGTCACAACTCGACATTTCACTTCTTTAATGCTCCTCATCTTCTCTTCCATTTCTTCCTTTTTCACCAGGGGCTGAAAGTATTGCTCCTGCAGTTCAGCCTCAGCCTGTGGGGGCACACAAACAAGGGTTGTGAGGAGATAAAGATGGGAGAAGCTACTCCATAAGCGGCCTTAGGGCAAATTACTACCGGGCCTGCTTGAAGCAGACTGCAGACTGGGAGCCAGAGAAACACCAAATATCTCTTGCTTCAAAAAAATCCATGTAGTGCACGGGCTGCGCTTCACCAACACTGAAATGAGCCACCTCTGAGATGTATGACTGGGAGGGTTTAACAACAGCATGTACTACTGAAATAAGCACATACCTACAAGGACAGCGCAAGGAGAGGTCAGGTAGGCAGATATAATGAACAGACTTGGTTCTTAGCCAACATATTACCCCTCAGAAGACCTTAAAACAACTAGGACTTCATACCAATACAAAGTGTCCAAGACAAGAGCCCTGTGCCACTGGAGATGCTGTATCCCTGGAAACATGCTCAGCAAAGGCCCCGATGGGAGAAACCCAACCTGCTGGCATTTCACAGGCTCCACAACTTACACGAGTCTCAGATGAAGGTGGCAGCTGTCTTTATGTGGCCAAGATGTCAAGAAATGAGGGACAAAACAGGAACATGGCTAATGTGGTCTTAAGGTAGAAGGATTTATTTGATCATCCACTAACCAGGAAACTTCACTGATTCTTCCAAACACAGCAAAAAAAGACGAGGGCAACTTGACCTTACCATGGCTATGGCGATAATGCAGACTTGCAGGCACTGTGCCCTGTGTGCTCAGAGACCCCTGACCCTGCTCATCAGGACGAGGTGGTGCCTATGACATGTTTGGGTGCCTGCTTCTTGCTGAAATCATTATGAGGTGTCCAGACACAGTTCTGAGCCCTCAGTTATGGCTGGATTGAGGCCATACCTCTTTCAGGACATCTGTGTGCTTGGACTTTGCATTCAGGATTTTCTGGAACTCTTCTGACTCCAGATAGGCCAGCTGCTCACGCCGTTTCTTTTGGGCAGGCTCCAGTGCATCCATATCTAGGGAGACAAAAGGGCTCAGTCCTACAGAAGCCAAGTTCAAAACAAGGTTGTGATCTCTAAGCAGGACCACTGTAGGAGATTTTGGAAGTCTCAGGTCTCTCAGGCAGATGTTCAGGTCAAACAGCAGCCTTTCACAATTCAGGAGAACATGAAGCCAAGTTCAAATATGGCTTCAGAAAAAAATAAAAGCATTTTTTTAAATAACATTGCATATTCTGTCAAAGTACTGTACTAGGAATTTTCACATCACTCCCAGGGGAGACAGCAGTACTGCTTCCCTGACTGACAGAGAAGCTTTAAAGGGAATTAAGCAATTCATCCAAGATCACACAGTAAATCACCAGCAGGCAAACTCAAGTTCCCACAGAAAATTCAGAAACCTTCACAGGTGGGACTATTTCTTGGTTTCCCTTGGTTAAGTCAGCCACGCACTGCAGACGCTCAAATGCCAGAGGAAAGGGAACAGAGATGAGGCCAGGGAGCTATCAAAGATTACATCTCACACTCTCTCCACAGGGTTAGAGATTGTTTAGCTTTTGCATTAAACCCTTTAAGTTCTCAACAGACCTAACTTGGCCTCTCTTTGGCACAGCAATTAAGTCCTTAGCCCAGCAACTAGTGCTCCGTTCA